AGCAGTACTGAGTCAGCAGAAGCAGCTTGTGACATCCTTTCTCAGCTGGTGAATTGTTCAATCAAGACACTGGGTTTGATCTCTACAGCAAAGCCAAGCTTCATGAATGTCTCTAAGGTAATGTTCTACAGACTGTAACCAGGTACTTTGGGCTCATCACTGTGTCCACTTATCCCTGTTTTATTACAGTGAAACAATAAATCAGAGTGGATGAGTTAATGACTGAGTGTTAAAGTTAACTTCTGTCATGTGCAGCAGCGTGCTTTTAAACCCAGATGCCCTGTGCTCATGTTCAGATAAGCCTTTCTTTGTTGCACAGGAAAGGGAATGACTGAGAGGTGATTATTTTTCTGCTTTCTGTGTGTGCAGAATGTGAGGTTAAGAAGCTGAAGTTCTGCCCATCTTTTCATAAGATGTTTTTTCCTTTCCTTCCATTTCTCCAAACAGGCTCATTTTGCTTCAGCACTGACAGTAGTTTTTGTAAACTCCAAGTCATTATCATCAATCAAGGTAGATGACACACCACTTGATGATCCTTCCCTGAAGGTTCTCGTTGCTAACAACAGCGACACTCTAAAACTGCTAAAAATGAGCAGCTGTCCTCATGTTTCACCTGCTGGTGAGTAGTGAATATTCGTGAAAAATGGAGTAGTAAAGTATCAAAACAACAAAGGGAACACACACACACACAAAATCCCTGATCCATGAATCAACTCCTGCTTGGTGAGATAAAGGAGATTAAAGCAGTTGTCAGTAATGGCTTTGCAAGGTGCTCTGAGAGTATACAAATTGCACAAGCTAGTGGTTAAGACTGGAAGTGTTTTCAGTTTCTGTAGTGCCCTCGTGTGTCCAGATCTGGACCTGAACCCACTGGTTGGTGAAGGGCTCACTGCCTTCAGAATACTCCCTTGCTAGAAGGTTCAGAGGGCTTTTGAGTGCCACTTGCCTTTCTCCTGAAATCTTAATGCTAGGGAAAGGGAATCTATTTCCTGTATTCTTTCCTGGAGTCCACAAAAGGTGACTTAATCTGTGTCCTTTGTATTCCAGCAGATGAAGAGCAGTTACTTTGTTTATGTCTTAATTCATGGATGACTCTGTTTTAACGGGTAAACAAGGTTGCTGGTGGTGATTTAAATAGTGTAGGTGAAAGCTGAAGGAAGAAAGGAACAGTGTCAACTTCAGCTGAATCAGTTGCTGCTTCAGAGCTGACAAAATTCTGCATAGGGAAGGGCAAAGAGGGAGATGTGCAGATCCAATAGGAGTGTGACTAGTTAGACTTAGGTCTTTTACTGCTAAATGTTAATGGCCAAAAGCCTGTAAAATGTGGATATCTAGAACTTGGATATTTCAGGGGGTTTGGATATAGGCATGAAAACTGAAACCAATAGAATTAGAACTTGCTCGAGCTTTACAGCAAACAACTGTGCTTATATTTGCTTTTCATTTCACAGAGCAATTTTTCTTGTTCCTCAGGCATTCTTTGTGTTGCTGATCAGTGCCACGGACTGAAGGAGCTGGCTTTGAACTACTACATCCTCAGTGACGAGCTCCTGCTGGCTCTGTCGAGCGAGAAGCACGTCGACCTCGAGCACCTCCGCATCGACGTCGTGAGCGAGAACCCCGGGCAGGTCGAGTTCCACGCCATCAAGAAGCAGAGCTGGGACGCTCTCGTCAAGCACTCCCCCAAAGTCAACATCGTGATGTATTTCTTCCTGTACGAGGAGGAGTTTGACGTTTTCTTCCGGGAGGAGACGCCGGTGACCCACCTGTACTTCGGCCGCGCCGTCAGCAAGGCGCTGCTGGGCCGCGTCGGCGCCAACTGCCCGCGCCTCGTCGAGCTGGTCGTGTGCGCCAACGGGCTCCAGCCCCTGGACGATGAGCTCATCCAGATCGCCCAGCGCTGCAAGAACCTCACGGCCATGGGCCTGGGGGAGTGCGAGGTGACCTGCAGGGGCTTCCTGGAGTTCGTCAAGATGTGTGGGGGCAGGCTCACCCAGCTGTCCATCATGGAGGAGGTGCTGATCCCGGACAGCGATTACAGCCTGGATCGGCTCCACCTGGAAGTCTCCAAGCACCTGGGCAGGATGTGGTTTCCAGACATGATGCCGACGTGGTGAATTCTCTGTGCGTTCGTGGATGAGGTGGTGGGATCAGGGTGTTGCTTTCTATGCAAGTGAGGAATTTAAACAGGAAATGTGAAAACTTGCTTCCGGATCTGAGGTTTTCTGCCTTGAGAGCCTCTGGTGGACTTAACAGCAAAACACTCTAGAATATTAATTGTATATTGAAATAGGAAATAGATTAAAGTGTACTTACCAGTTCTGAAAGTATGTCTGTGGTTTACAGGTGCTGCAAACCTCAGTGAACTTGGGCTTCTCTGAGCTTCAGTTTAAATGTTCCATTCACTTTATAGTGGTTTTGGGGTTTTTTTTCATGTCTTTGTTTAATCTTTCTGATGTAGTCAGAAGAGGAATAGAGTAACTTTTTTCCTTTAGGAAATCTATCTTTATGGAAAGCTGTATACAACTTGGAGTACAGTATTATTTGTCATGATGTTTTATATAGCTTTTTTTATAAATATTCATGTTTTGATTGTAAAAGCTTGTACATTAAAATATCCTGGCCTGGGTTAATCAGCTGTAATCTAGTTTAAACTCATGGTATTATATTAAAATGTTAATAAGCTGAAACTGTAAAGTTTTTTTGTAAGCATTACATTGCACTTTAAATAATTCTGTCACAGAAGTGAAGCTGTTGAGAATGCATTGTACAGTATGTTGGTCTTGTCCTATGCATTGAAAGGGTGGGAAAGAGACTTTGTTAAAATTAACGAATGTAAAAGTTTGTAGCTGGATTGATTGCTGGAGCGAGTAATAAAGCACTTTGGAAACTGTGGGATATAAGGAATAGCTTTGGATTTGGGTTCAGGTCTTTGTGGTCGAAGGCTGATGTCTGAATGCTGTTCCATGCTTTCATTATTGGGAGATGAGAAGGATTTCATAAATGTGGCTGGTGAGAAGGAAGGAACAAATGGAATACAGTTGTCTTTGATCCCTGTCAATTGAAATCCAGGATTTAGAGCACTTAAATCACTTGTCATTGACAGGCCAGGATGGCCTGTAGTGATCTTGGCTGTGCTGTAAGCCCTGATTTCTAGAGAAAGGATTGCTGGAGATGATCCTGAAATATTTCATTCAGGACTGTTTAATACTTGTTGCTACTAATTGTTTTTTAAGAAAAAAGATTTTAATATATTTATTTTCTTAAAAGGGGAGAGGCACGATGCGTTGATGTAAATTAGAGTCTGTATTTTTGTGTTGACATTTTGCTCACTGGAAACTAAAACTCACTGTATATAAATTTTGCTGTAATCACTTTCACGCTGTACTTGTTCTGTCTTCCTGTTGATAATGAGAATTCTACATTAATTAGCTGGTGGTGATTGTCACTGTCATGTGATTTTTGATGCACTAATTTTTTTTTGAGCTTTTGCTCTGCTGGCTGATCTTAACAATTGAGGCCAGCTGGTACTTGAGGGGGGAAATCTGGCAGTCATGCACCTTCTCTGCCACATGAGGGGGTAGCTAGTTTGCATTTTAGCTGATTTTTCAGACTGTTTGAGAAAGCTTATAACTAATCAGTGCTAATTTCCCAATTCTCTCCAATGAAAACTCAAACCTTTTTCCCTTATGTGGGCCTCTGCTAGAGACACTGCTTGTGTACCCCTCAAAATAGTGAATCAGTGATAGCACAGACCTTTTCATGAGCAGAAAAAACAACTTTTGGATGCTGAGATGAATTTATTTAGAATTTACTGCATTTCCATTTCACTCTCTTTGCCCTTTCCCCCTTTCGAGGTTGCTGGTGGGGTCCGAGTGGTCGCAGTTCTCGATGTGGATGTGAGATGTGATGCCGGGAAATACTCTTTGCATTGGCAGCATTCTCCCAAGGACTTGCCCCTTGGAAATCGCACCGCTGTATCTTATGGGATGGATACAGAGTAGTTTTACACAGAACCCTGGTGAAAACGAGGAGGGACAACATCAGGTGACTGGTGAAGCATTTGTTCTTCTATGCTGTATTTCAGAAATATTAACAATTTCTGTCTTATCCTTTCCACTGAGATAGCAATAGTGAAAATACCACAAGAGCAAAGCCACTGTGGTCATAAAAAGTAAGTGGTGGTTGGAGTAAGTGGCTTGGTGGAAGAGGGGAGATGGAAGGCAGGGAAAAGGTGGGAATTCCTGCTTTAGTAAATGGAATGGCTCAGACACACTCTGGCATTGTAGCAGGAGCAAAGGCTCTGCAAGTAGGTGGATAGAAGAAAACAGTTACCTTACTTAGGTACTTGCTAGCTGCAAGGTAATACATCCTGTGTGGCCTCAAAGACATGAAATAAAGAGCAGCTGTTTACCTGAGCCTCGGATCTGGACTCCATCGTCGATGGCATTTCCGTTGTGGAAGAATTTGATGGGCCCGGAGAGCTGCCCGGAGAAGGGGGCGTACACGGTGGCTCCATCAGCACAGATCACATCCACTGCCCCGTGCTTCCCTTTGCCATTGCGCCTGCAGGCAAGGAGGGAATGAGAGACAACCCCGTGTTACAGAGAGAGATCAGGCAGCACGTGGTGATACTGGAGATGGGTTGTTAATGGAAATAATGTCAGGCTGGCTGAAGGATCAGTAAAGGATTTTTGGTGTAGGTGGTTTAATAGGGTGGGTGACCTGTTAGGGCTGGAGAAAAAAATCCCTTCTTCCAAGTCTTAAGTTTGGTTGTATGAAGGACGTCAAGTCCAACTTTCCCCTCAAGTCAGGACTGTTCCCAACACCAAGGCTTAGCTCCAAGCAGAGAGGCGTCATCAGCAATGTGAGCAGCCTAAAAGTTTCCTCCTGTCCAACCCAAACCCTCAAAGCTGTGATTCTTAAAGTAACTTAAACAGAGTTTAACTCTCATTTCAGTGGAGGGACAACAAAACCCCCCGTGGTACCTCGGAGCTCCGTAGTATCCGCAGCCGTACTTATCGCAGCCCCTGATCTCGTTGGTGGGATTCCCAGCACACACCGCAGCCCAGTGGCCACTGTTTTGTTGTGGCAGTGGTGGGACATCTGCACAGAAACACAGCACAACAGAGTTAGCTGGTTGATTGTTTTAAGCCTTGCGTGTTTGTAACTGCCGTGTTTCAATACACTTGGGTAAGAACGCTTTGGAATTCCATCCCCCACGTGCGGTCGGATTTTCCTCCACAAGATTTGTCATCTTTATAGGAAATGTGAATAGAATGTACAACTGAGCTGGATAGTAATATCTCATACAAGAAACACGCTTTAAAGACAGAAATTCAAAGAGAGAATCACAGGTCCTTGAGTGCAACTCTATTCCTATTCTGGGCTGGTTTTTGTTGTTGTTCGGGGTTTTTTACCGGGCGTAAGCAGGTGGGTGGGATCGGAGTGGTCGCAGTTCTCGACGTGGATATGGGAAATAATGCCAGGAAATACTCTCTGCATGGGCAGCATTCTCCCAAGCTGTTGCCCCCTGTGGATATGGCCGTGGTACCGGATGGGGTGAATGCAGACGAGCTTCACACAGTAATCTGGAGGAGACGGAAATGAGGTCAGGAAGCATCAGCTGCCTCTGCTCCTTGCGAAAGCAAGAAGCATTCCCTGCCAGCCTCTTACTGGAGACTGCAAGGGAGAAGCAGAAATGTCATCAAGGTACCAACAACTGTGAAATCAAAATTACTGGATTTGCTGTGGGAAGGACATAAAAAGAGAGTTGGAAAACAGGGACAGGAAAACATCCTCTCAGCAAAGCTGAGGTCGTATTTCCAATACATTATTTTTACTGCTTCCTTTTTTTAATTATTATTTGGGGTTGTTGTTTTCCTGCTACCTGTTTTTCAACTCCTTTCTTCCCTCCTCTCCGGGAAAAGCATAGGAAAGGACTACATCCTGCCGCTGCTGCCTTCCCAAATTTCAGCGTGCTACAGAGGGCGTGACACTCATCAGCACCGTGCTTGAACTGAAGAAACCTTACTCAAGGAAATGGAGTGATTATCTGTGGGCCCCTGCTGTTCATTACTTGCCTGATCCCCTGATTTGGACTCCATCATCGATGGCATTCCCGTTATGGAAGAAGCGGATGGGCCCGGAGAGCTGCCCGCTGAACGGCGCGTACACCGTCGCCCCGTCCTGGCAGATGACGTCCACACCCACATGGATGTGCTTTCCCTTGCCACTCTGCCTGGAAGCATAAATCCATCATTAAAGTCATCTGTCAGGGTTAATGTTACGTGTCGGTGTCAGATACACATCTCCCAGGGTTAATGTTGTGTATCCTTATCAGATACCTGAAGCTCGTCTAACGAAATTGCTGTACCTGCAATCAAATTAGAAAGCAGCTTTAGCCTTTTTAATTTTTTGTTTAATTGCAAGATGTTCACATTACTCTGGCCTTCTTTAAAGGGGGGGGTGAAATATCAAATGTAAGCTTATTTTTAATTTTCCCAAGTTCACAGGGTATTTCAAGGTGTTACAGTGAAGTACAAAATACATCTCTGCCCATGGGAAATGTAATCTTGTGTTTGGCATTTTCTCATTTAGAAGTTGGGAGGTGACATGATGAGGATGGGAACTTCTTATAGAGCCTGGGGAGAGGAGACAACAGGAAAATGCAGGAGAAGGCAGGAGGCATTCTACTTATAAAAGCATTTTTCAGGGAAATATGACTTGCTGTTTTATGAGGCCCCTCTTTAAATACAACAGATCTTCTCTCATTCTGACTGTCAGCTCTGTTTAACTTACTCTCTCCTGCCTGAGAATGTCATTTGGGAAAGCAGCAGTGAATCCCAGACTCCCAGTGCCCACCCTGTTACCTGTCAGCGCCGAAATTCCCGCAGCCGTATCTGTCGCAGCCCCGGATTTGGTTGGTGGGATTCCCGCTGCAGATCGGGGCCCAGTGTCTGTGCTGCTGTTGGGGTGGGTGTCCATCCAGCTGCTTGGCAAAAACTTCACGTGGAAAAGAGGAAAAACAGGGAAAATTCAACCTTGTTCTGTCCAGGGCAACACAGAGTGTTAAGGTGCAAAATAGGGTGTTTAAAGAGGAAGACCTGAACTCACAGGAGTTTGAATCCCAGAAACTGTAGGTAAAAGGATATTATACAACCTGATGTATTGATTTGATCCTTTTTTTCTTAAGGTCTTACTTTAAGCTATATATACTAAAAACAAAGATTTTAAAAGATAGTTTGGGAAAGAAATCAAACCAGTGGTGCCTCGTTGATGGTTGGACTCGATGATCTTAGAGGTCTTTTCCAGCCTTAACAATTCTGTGATTCTTCATGACACCTCTAATCACTTCAATATATGACTCTTAACACCCACCTTATATTTTAAATTAGTCATAACTGTGCAAATTACCATAATTCTTCATACAACCAGATTGAAAAAAATCACCATTATTTGCTTTGGAGTGAATTTCAGTAATTCATTAGTGTCTGCCTAAACCCAGTCAAGACAAACTGTCACCCAGCAGCCCCAACTCACCAGTGGACACCAAGCTGACCAGAGCCACCAGACTGAGAGCTGGCATTTTGGGGCTGTGTCACCCGTGTTCTTCGATCCAGTCAAAGGCGTTGCACAGAAAACACCCGGGCTATTTATGTGGTTTTGAACAAGTCTCTTGTCTTGGCCAATCAGTCTTGAGCAAAGTGTTACATCTCTGGGCTGGTGGTGTTGCCATACTCAGCCCTGGGGGGGTTGGGAAAGGCAGATAAAATAAAATAGCGGGGCTCTTGGCACACAGGAACAGAGGGAAACGGGCAATCCCACATTGCAGGAAACTCCGGTTGAACCGTCTCTTATAACACCTTTTCTTCCCCTTCCTGAAGTAAGGGCACACTTAGGCCAAAAATGGCATTGGGCATAGCAGGAGCATTCACTTAGGCTAAGAAATACAGATGCTTTTGCATGGAAACATGTCTTTTTGGTTTTTTTTCCTTGTTCAGCTGAAGTTGTCAATTATGTCACTTAAATCCATGAAGTCCTTTCACTGACACTCTAGTTTTTGGCAGGAAAATTCTTATTAAAACATCTTCAAGTTGCAAACCCAAAGTTCCATGGGCAACACTGAGGTGGAGTTCAGGAATTCTGGGTTTTAAGATGATTCATTTAATACCTGCTTGGTTTCAGCTATGGGCCTGTAAATCAGGCTCCTTAGTGGAGCCTGGTAATCAAACCCATCGGAAAATAAAGACTCTTGTGGGTGGTGCCTGCCCATTCCCAGCTGAGGGGGTCTCCAGTGGGATTTCTGCAATAATGATCTCAACCAGATGTTATTTCTGATTTATTCCTGACTGCCAGTTTGCACTAGCAGAGTTTTAAATGTCTCACTAGGTAACTTTTGCCTGAAGAAGACCTGAAAAACTAATTATTTTTATAGATTTCTGTGAACTCATATGCTCTGAATTTTACCAAGCAAGGAATTGCAGCCCTTCAACCCCCTCTATAAAGTCTTGGGAAGGAAAAGCTCAGTGTAAAGCCAGGCTGATGGGCACGAGAAGGGAGGTACAACCATGTCAAAGGTGCACAGACCCTGAAGAAACTTCCTTGGCTCCTGTTTTGCAGTCTGGCATTTGTAAAATGGCTCTAAGCTACCCATTTATTCTTTGCAATTTTTTTTTCCCCATCTCCTCTGTGTGCAGAGCTGACTCCAAATTGCTCATAGCTGTGTACATCTATTTTTTTTTTTCCCCCACTCTATAAGAGATCTCAACAGCCTTGTTCTTTGTGAAACACATCAAAATGCCCTTGCTACTGTGATGTAACTTGTGGGAAAGCACTGTTAAGACACCAGTTTTCAGTGTATGATAATGCAGTTGATAATGTCTCGGCGTGTCCCCCACCTCTCCAGGGTGAGCTGGAAGCTGCAGACCCTCCCCCTGGGGCAGGAGGAACCTCTGAACCAAAGCTGGTGGGACTCCTGTGTTGGGCAACGAGCTGTGAATGGACAGTTGGGAGGTGCAGTTGTGAAAGTCCCGGAGAGGCTGCTTGGCACAGGCCACCAGAAGGGTATGGAACAACCCCCTGGCATTGCAGGCCCGGGAGCTGCAGTTGCACCATTTCCTTCCCTGCAGAGGAATCAGGCTGAGCACATGGGAGCAGGGGGCTGAGCTGGGAACTGCTGGCTCCCTGTGCCAGGGCCTCCCCACCCTCACAGGGAAGAATTCCTCCCCAGTATCCCATCTAACCCTGCCCCTGGCAGTGGAAAGCCATTCCCCCTTGTCCTCTCACTGCAGTCCCTCTCCAACACTCTTGGAACCCCTTTAGGCACTGGAAGGGGCTTTCAGGTCTCCCCAGCCTTCTCTTCTCCAGGCTGAACATCTCCAACTCTCTCAGCCTCCAGAGCAGAGCTGCTCCAGCCCTCAGAGCATCTCCATGGCCTCCTCTGGACTTGCTCCAGCAGGTCCATGCCCTTCTTGTGTTGAGAGCCCCAACAGGCAGTGAAGGAATTAACCTGATGTGGGTGCTGAGCACTCCCCTCCCAATTGAGCTGTGACAGCAGGTTACTGAACACCCCTGAGAGCTGTTTCCCTGAAAAATGAATGACATTTTTGGAGCCAATCATTACAAAACGAAATGTGTTTCAAGAACCGAGTGCAGAAGAATTTGCTTGTGCCACCAGCAGCGCAGGCTTTTGGGGTGAAAATCCAGCTGGGCACAGTGTAATCCAAAGTGCACTGGCGAATAATTTCGGGTGCTGATCATTGAAATAAGGGGGATTTTGCCCCAGCAATTGACTAAGCCTCGAGTACAGGGCTGAGATTGCAGTTCTGATGGGATATCAGCAGGCTGCGCTGGCTGACCAGCCAAAAAGCGGGGCTGGGAACGTCATTTTAAGGAGATGCCAGGCTGTGGGAGACGAGAGTACCCTGCCTTTCCTCGTTGCTAAGTGTGAGCTGAAGGGGAAGCTGGAGTTGTGCTAGTGCACAGTTCTGAGTGGAGGCTCCGTCTCAAATTTACTTTATCATCAAACGTTCTTCCTAAGCCTGAGCTGGGCAGGTTCCCACAAGGAGGACTGAGGAGCACAAAATGTCTTTTTGCTGCCCATGTCCTG